TACGAAGGGAATGGGACGATTTTTGTGTTTTGAAGGCCCCTTGGGAAGCTTTTTGGGGTGCCTTGGGGGTCTTTTGGGCCGTCCTGAAGCAATTGGAGTCCCTCTTGGAGCGCTTTGTGCTGTCTGGGGCCTCCCTTGAGCCTTTCTGATGACCCCTCTGATCGCTCTGGGTCTGCTGGCAAGGCGTATGTGGAGACCCGGAAAGCCGGGTGACCTTTTCCAAGGACGTCCAAGGGAGCCCGAGATTCCTAGATCCCGGGGATCCAGGTTTGGGGGGGGGACGGTTTCCCCCCCCCCCGGGCTTGTAAACATGTAGGAAGAGGAATATATATATATATATATATATATATATATATATGTATTGGGGCTATCTATCTTGGGCCGTCTTAGGGCACTCTTGGCCCGTCTGATGCCTTCGGGGGCCGTCTTGGGGGCCCTCTCTCAGCAGTCTCGGGGACCTCTTGGGGCCCTCTTGGGCCGTCTTAGTCCAGCCTCGTGCGCTTCTTGGGCCGTCTTGGGCGTTCGGAATGCCAACTGAAACACCAATCCGACAGCCTTCTTGGGAAATCATGGTTTTCCTATTTGAGGCTTTCACAAGGGTTCTTTGGGAGCCCTTTTGGGCCTTCTGAGGCCTCTTGGGCCGTCTTGAGGTCATGATTGGCTGTCTTCGAGCCACCTTGGCCCATCTTGAAGATATCTTGAGCCATCTTGGAGGCCTTCAGCGACCGTCTTGAGCCGTCTTCGAGGCCATGTTGCGCCATCTTGCGCGTCTTGGGAGGTGGATTTTCTGGTCATGAGTGTGTTCATTTGGCCTTCTGGTTGGCTGGCGGGACAGGCCGCTGACCACCGAGAATCTTATCGGAAAGGCTCAGAAGTGTTCAAAACCTTGGCATGCCAGGCGCCACTCTGGCAGGAAAACTGGGCGGGCGGATCGAAGACGCCTACTGTGAACCACCGCCGCCGCCCCTGCTTTCTTGAAGCGCCCATGCGGCCAACTGTTGAGCAAACGTCTGGCCAAGCTATTTGACTTCGAATTTCCCCAGCCGTTGTGAAATTCCTTGGGCGAACACCTGGGAGAGACAGAGGACACCGGATCAGAAGGACGATGCAGAGGAGGAGGAGGAGGTGGAGGAGGAGGAGGAGGAGGAGGACGAGGAGGAGGAGGACAAGTGGGGAGGATGAGGAGGTGGACAAGGGGCAGAAGGAGGAGGAGAAGGAGAAGGAGGAGGAGGAGGAGGAGGAAGGAGGAGGAGGAGGGCGAGGAGGAGGAGGAGGAGGGGGAGGTAGAGGAGGAGGAGGATGAGGAGGAGGAGGATTATGATGATGATGATGATGATGATGATGATGATGATGATGATGATGATGATGATGATGATAAAGATGATGAGATGATGATGATGATGCTGATGATGATGATGTTGTTGATGATGATAATGGTGGTGGTGGTTTTGGTGATGCTGATGATGCTGATGATGATGCTGATGATGCTGTTGATGATGATGATGGTGGTGGTGATGATGATGTTGATGATGATGATGCTGATGATGCTGATGATGATGATGCCGATGATGATGATGATGATGCTGATGATGATGATGATGATGATGATGATGATGATGATGATGATGATGATGATGATGATGATGATGATGATGATGATGATGATGATGATGATGTGATGAGGATGCTGCTGCTGCTGATGATGATGATGATGATGATGATGATGATGATGATGATGATGATGACGACGACGACGATGATGATGATGATGATGATGATGATGATGATGATGATGATGATGATGATGATGATGATGATGATGATGATGAATAATGATGATGATGATGTGGATGAGGATGAGGATAGGAGGAGGAGGAGGAGGGAGGAGGAGGAGGATGAGGAGGAGGAGGAGGAGGAGGAGGTGGAGGAGGAGGAGGAGGAGGAGGAGGAGAGGAGGAGGAGGAGGAGGAGGAGGAGAGGAGGAGGAGGAGGAGGAGGATGAGGAGGAGGACGAGGAGGCGGAGGAGGAGACGACTGGGGGATGAGGGGAGGACGAGGATGAGGAGGAGCAGGAGGAGGAGGAGGAGGAGGAGGAGGAGGAGGAGGAGGAGGAGGAGGGGGAGGTTGAGGAGGAGGGGGAGGTAGAGGAGGATGAGGAGGAAGATGAGGATGAGGAGGAGGAGGATGATAACGATGAAGAGGATGTAAAGGAGTCTTCTGGAGGCCGTATTGTGGCTTCCTGGGGGCTTTCTGGAGCCTCTTGCGGGCCTCCTGGGACCTCTTCGGGGCCTCCTGGGGCCTCTTCGGGTTCTCCTGGGGGCCCCTGGGGACGGATGCTGTCTGAGGGCATTTTCTCTGTGAAGTCGTGGGTTCCGCTGTAGGCGCTCCAGGGCTGTTTTGGGCTGTCTGCGGGGCGCCTTGGAGCCGTCTTTGGGGCCGTCTTTTGGCCTGTCGTGGGCCGTGTTGGGGCGCATTGGAGGCATCTCGGGTCCATCTTGCG